GTGTCTAGTTTGCATATCCATTCTAGCTCAGCAGTCTCTCTTTGAAGTCTGTTTTTGAAGTTTTTCTGTTGTAATATAGCCACCCGCAAGTCTGATATGTGTCAGGGTACTTTATGGAATGCTCTATCCCTGGCATTAAAGAATGGTGTTGTAGCCCTGCAGTCTAATGCAGAACTTGATTGCTTGGTCTTCTATCTCACAGAACAAGGTATGTGTGTGGAGGAGGGACCCGAGTGTGTCATATAAGAGCCCTCATCTCTGAACCAATTTAGCTGCCCCGGTTTTGGAAGAGATTAGCAGAGACCTGTATTTCCCCTGCCCTACAGGAAGCTGAGGGCACCATTACAGTGATGCTCCAGACCCCATGAACCAGTATTTTCCATAGGATAAAAACACTGCTAACAGTCAAGCCAATGACACTAAATAGAGCATAGTTGCTATTCTGAAAACTCTAGTACTGTTCCTCAAAAGCCACTTTAACACCTGATGGTGTTGTAAGATAAGTGTAAAATTCTGGGTTGCTTTCTAGGACTTGATGCTGCGTCATGGCTGGAGGACTGGAGCCATTGTACCAGAACTGGAACCTGAAATCCGGATCATTAATACAGAGCAGTACATGCACTCGCTGACTTGGCAACAGGCACTCACAGGGCTGCTGGAGAGAATGCAGGTAGGTTGGAGCAGAGCCAGGCTAATGAGTCTAACTAGTCTTCACTTCTCAGAACTAGGATTTAGATTTTTGGCTTGGGTCAGATTGCATTTGATCTCCTTGTGCCCCTGTAGACTTGGACCATTCTGATAAAACTGCTGCACGGCTTAGTATTACTACTTGTCTATGCTCCAGTTAGGTCCCGGACTAGAATAGCAGTGGTGTTTACGAATAAGAATTTTTAAGCTAGTATGGCAGAGGTGGAGTTGCTGGTAGCATACCTTTTTAATGAGGAAATACAATTCCTTCTACATACTAGGTCTGGTTGTACATAGGGATGGGTGTCTACTACGCTGGCAGGTGAATAACATAATATATTCCACATCCTGCTGGTCTCATGGCAACCTGTAGTTCTAATTAACCATCTCTAACCCCTTCTCCAGTGTCCTTTCTGCAATTATAAAAGTGAGTGGGAGGGCTAACTATCAGAAGAATGTTACTCTGATTTGTGAAATAAAATGGACGGGAAGCAGCTTTCCTGTCTGTCACTAAGCTTTCAGTAACACTAATTTAATAAATGATGGCACTTTTCATAAGATGATGCTAGTCCTAAAATCAAATCCCTGCTAATGTAATTTTTAAATCAGTGTAGGTCATAGATTCTTCCGCAGAGCTCAAACATGGTTTTGCATGTTAGCTGTTAATTTGCTAAGCATGACTAAGAAAGCGGTGGATGAACACTTACCTTTTGTCTCTGAAGACGTGAATTTCAGTCTGACTTAGTCTCAATAGGGGACTAGGGAAAATGTGTTTGAGATGCACAAGGCAATGTAATGTCAAAGAAATTCATAGGTGTCAAAACTGATTGGAGGAAGATTGCCCTATGCATGTGCTATGGCAACATCAAGCCACGGCTGTTATTGCTTCCCTCTTTAGTCACCTAAACTCCTTCATAAATATAAGACACAAACCCCACACTGTATGACTTAACAGATGTTTTCATGGGGATCTTTTGTATCCTCCACAGACGTTAATATACTATAAGCAACCAACACACTCTCTCTCCTAGGCAGTGTTGGGGGATTAACCAGTGACTTGTGGTTTACTCTCTCTAAACCAAGCCGTGCATAGTCATGGTGCATCTCCCAGAGCACAAATACTGGAGAGTAAAAGCAGGGAATTTGGTGGATTTACAGCCTGTCTCACAATTTCTTTGTTTTTTTCTTAGTCACCTACACTTTTACTGTTGGCAATTGTAAGAAGTTGCTGAGCTCCAAAGGCCATAGACAGATACCTGGCACCTAAGTTGATAGTGGCACTATCACCTTAAGAAAAGATTTGAAAAAAGTCAGTGTTTAGATTTAACTCTTTTTACTGGGCTTTTTTGTTCTAGATGTATCAAGATGCAGAATCAAAGCAGGTGCTGCTGGAATGGATGCAAGAGCGTCAGGAAATTAGGTGACTCAATGTATCTAAATCTGAGAGTGCTTTAGGTTGAACATGCAAACTTCCCTTCCTCCCAGAATATTCCTGTGGAAACTTGTAAATATGCTCCTATGAATGTAGATATCTTGAAATCAAGGGTTGGATCTCCAGTGTCTAATTCGTTTCTGATGATTGTAGCTAGTGAAGCAGTGCAACTTCTAAAAGTGAAGCTGGGCTGAGTTCTGTCCTTTATTCAGAGATGTGTTGTAAGAGATTTCTCTGGGAAATCTAATAGAATTTTTAAGCTAGCTACACAGCTATTTTTTTTCACAGTGCAGAAAGTATTGTCATTACTCCTGCAGTCATTCCACTGATGCAACCACTTAAATGACAGATTATACTCCAGATTGTTTTCATTGCTATCTATATTTTTCCATCCAAAGAAGCTGATTGGCAAATCCTTACTCACATGAGTAAGTGTTGTAGGCTCTTAAATGCTTAGGCTTTCATCTTCCTTGTTCACGTCAAGAGCTTGGCTAAGGAGCCTACTCACTGTTTACTTAGATGAAACTAGGCAGCTTGAACAAACTTGTTTCAATTCAGCCCTGATGGGTCCTGGTAACAGTAAAGTTTAAGCAATATAGATGCATAAATTCCTCCTACAGGGCAGGACACATGTGGCAGGCATGTAATGACTTGGCAGTAGCTATCAAACCATTGTCTTCATTCTCCCGAAGAGGAAATCTTAGCCCTTGCTGCTTACGTTTACTAGGTCCATTTAGTACCATCGCTTCTGGGTAATCTTCAATCAAGGTTAGACTCCAGTAGTAATCTCTTGCTGTCTTTTCCATCACAGCATAGCCCATAAGGAAAGTACCTGCCCTGGTGATTTTGGTACCCTGAAATTTTAAAGCTTGTGCAAAATATGTTTCCAAGGACTGAATTGTCAAATTAGTTACAAAACCTCTGTTAACAATTTCTCTAAATGTTGGCCCGTGCAAACCAAATCCTCTCCTTTCAGGTCCCTTACAAAGAATTTATTCAATCCTCAGTTCGGGAGCATCTTCCGAACCTTCCACAACCCAACCTACTTCTCTCGGAGACTGATCCGGTTCTCTGATATCTACATGGCATCCATCAGCTGCCTGCTGAACTATGATGTGAACTTCACCTTTTTCCCCCGGCGCACCCCTCTGCAGCACGAGGCGCCCCTCTGGATGGATCAGCTCTGCACGGGTTGTATGAAGACCCCCTTCCTGGAGGAGATGGTGCACATCCGATGAAGGGAAAGTATGTGAGCTGAAGTTTACAGTGATGTAGTGCTAGAATTGTTTGTACAAAAGGTCAGGCTGTTTGGCCATGGATTGCCTATCGCTAAAGATGATTTTAACACGGGTGTGGGTGTGGGTTGTGTTTTGTCCCTGACCATCCCAGAACCTTGCCTTCCAGCACTTCCAAATATCTACCTTGCTAACAAATTGGTGCTTAAGTTAAATGGAAGGACTATCTGATTTGACTATTTTATCTAGCAAAGCATTCTCAGAGTTGGTTAGGTAGAAGTAAAACAATCACAGCAAGCTGCATGTCATGACCCCTTCAATTTTTTAAAACTCCATCTTCAGCCCCTACCCAAATTCTGGCCCAAATCTTCTTCTAAGATGGGTAGCTGAAATTAGGTAACTGCAGTTAGGCACCGTAGCTAGAAGTGGCCTGATTCTCAGAAGTGCTAAGCAAACCCACCTCTCTGCTCTCCCATACATTTAAAGGGTTCTTCAGCACCTCTGAAAGCTGGTTTTAGGCAACTTAACTTTTGAATGTTTTGGTCTCTGAATATAGAGGCTTTTTTCCTTCACTTGTTATAGAAACAGTTCAAAAGCTAAGATCTTGACACACACACACACACACACACACTGCTTAGAAGGTGCTATTTTTGCAGCCTTTGACATTAAAATAATGTATTTGCCATGTCTTTGACGATTGTTTTGAAAAGCATGGAAGCTAAATTATAATGGATTTTAAATCTTTGATATTTAAGTCAACACTTAAATTTTAACACTGAAAAGTATTGCCTTGAAAAATCAATTAAAACACTACCTTAAGTGATGTAGTTTCGTTTTTACAGTAAGAAGCTTAGAGCTCATATCTTCTCAATAAGATGAGCAATGCCTTTGTATTTGCACAAATTGGGCCTTATTCTGAAGTCATGGGCTGGTGTGAAGTTACCCCCCCCCCCCCCAAATGTAAAACTGAGATTAGAATAAGGCCTGTTTGTATTCTTGACTCAAGGCTGTTCCTACAGCTGTGGAAGAGATTATTCTGATTCAGTAGCAAGAAGGGGGAGGGGGGAAGTAACAAAGGATAAATTGTGGTCAGGCATGGAGAGGTAGGTGAATCTTGTTAAATCTATTTTTCAACAAATGAGCCCAGTGTTGTTGACAATGGAGGGGGATTACTTTGTGCCAAATGTCTTTGGGTAGGAGACAGTGATTTCTAGCTATAGCTCTGCCTCGGCTTCTGTTTAGTACAAGTTTAGAATATCTGCGTAACTGAAGGGTTGGAGCCATAGGAGTTACAAAGGGCCAACCACAGCCAGAGCAGCATAACTCCTGTGCTGCTGCTTTATGACTGAGTACTTTGCACACACCATACCACTTAATCTCTTCTGCATACTGCCAGCAATCTTACTACTGCTCTTTCAAGTAGTTGAAAATATTATGACAAGGATGAAAGCACTGAGAGCTGCTCCTAGATGGGGATGCTATTAATAAATAATCCTCCCTCCACCTATCTCAGGTCAAAGCTGGCCCATAATTCAGCTGTGGCAGGTCTATACAACCTAAAACCATATGGAAATGTTACATTGAAACCTGTATTTTAAAACATTCCCCTGGAATGTTTACACCCCAACCATAACAGTGTGCTAACCCATGAAAACCTGTCTAAAGCTGAGAGAAATAAAGTTCTTTTCTGGTTTAATCTTAAAATAAATGGCAGTAGTAATACAACACCTGAAATGAAATTTAAACTCTGTTGTGATATCTAGCATGAAGGATGCAGTCAGTTTACAGCCTTGCAGTTGTCACAGGAGTTTCTAAACACAGAAAGCAGTAACAGCTGACTGAAGTTTATATAGCTATAAAACAAACTTATTAGCATAAATATCCCTACTCCCCATTAAATCTACAACACCCTCTTTTTCTGCCTGCCAATAGAAATTTTTGAGCAATGCTTAAAATCAGGGCATGCTGTTTTCTTTCCATGTAGAGACACTCCAGCTTAGGGACTGAGTGGGAGAAGCAATTAAGTAGCTAACTGCTTTTCTGAAGAAAAGGCATAGGGACTATTTTAAGCTTTTTCTGCAGCCCAGGCTCATCTCCCACAAGAGGCAGTTTAGAAGTGCAAGGCTGTGGATGGAGGTCCCAGTCTGGGCTCCCATTTGCCACCTCATCTTTTTCTTTTTCTTTTCTTTTTTTTCCTCTTAACTGCCTTTCTCCTTCCCTGCTCTGGGACTGAGCGGGGTTGGGTTTGCAACCACAGAAGCCTCTGCTGCATCACCTCCAGGCTCACACTTCTGCCTCTCTTCTGGAAGGGAAGAAGCACCCCTGAAAGCACCATGTGAAGTAAAAGGATGCTTTCCCAAGCTGACACTGAGGGAAACATGAGCAGGAGGACCTCATGCAGTCATCCCAGGGTGCAGGGACAAGCGGTTTGTAGGGCTCACGTGCCCCACCCCTCCCATCTTGAAGTGGTTGCTGAATGCTGTAACCCCCCCTCCCCCTTCCCAATTGCTGACCCTAGCAGAGCAGGACTCAGAAAGCAGTTTTTTTTAGAGGGCTTCAGGTCCTGTAGAAGGTCACAGCAGCACACCTACATCCACACGCAGTCAAAAAAAACCTCACCAAGAGCAAGAAAAACTGTCCAGTGCTGAAGAAGAGGAGCTTTCGGACTCTTAATGTGAGCTGGGCCAAGGGTAAGCCCAACAATGATTTATTTTTGGTGAGAAGGTTTGAGTCTATGTTCAAAAAAGTGGTGGATCCACAGTACAGATCTAACCTTGCTTTTGAGAGCAAGCCTCCCACTAAACATATCCCCTCAGGCTGAAATTTCCCCTATACTCCTCCTTGGTGGATGTGAGAGGAATGAGACAGGTTCAATAAACTACTCTGTCCCTCAAAGGCAGATACTCATTCTAAATCGGTCCTAGGCTCAGCTAACTTTGCCTCCTCTTCAGGGAAAGGGCTGGACACTATAGTGGCAAAAAATGGTGCAAAATCCAAACAGTCCCTTCCATCTCCACTAAGTGCTCTCAGGAGAGAATATAAACCCTCTTTCAGGCAGACCCTCCTTAAATACTCTAAGGGAACATCTTGGACTGTAGGTTCAGGCAGAAAGTCCAGCGGTGGTTGAGCAGCCTCCAGCACAACTTTTTGACAATGAACAGATTTGCTGCCACCCAGACTTGAACCTAGGAGCCAGAATTCCCCATTTGTCAGAGGATGGGTAGGTGTTAACCCGCAGACGCATGGGCCAGGGAGGAGGAGAGCCAGGGACTCCACCCCATCCATTCTTCATTCAGCTTCCAGCTTGAGGGACAATCTGGTCCAAAAGGAGCGCTTTCATCTTCTGAATATAGGTCTCTCAGAAGAGGAAACAGTTTCTCAGGGTTCTATCTTTCAAAAATACACAGGGTCTTGGAAAGAGGTCAATCAGAAATAACAAGAACTCAGCATTTCCAAGTCACCCATCACTAGATGGATTAGGCTATGCTTGCTGAGGCCTATAAGGCATTAGAGGTCCTGGGAAGAATCCAGCCAGACTCTGATGTGGCTGCCAATCGTATTGGCAGAACAAGTAAGTACCTCCACCTCAGAAATCTGCAGAGGAGACCCTTAATTATTGGGCAACACCTTTTATAGGCCATTACAATGTGGACTTGTCATCTGCAGAGGCCTTGTTTTCCAGTAAGGTAGTGGCCCCAAAATAAATGTGCTCAAAGGCAATGTTGGCTGATGGTAGTGGCAGGGACTGTTCCTCTTATTCCTCCCTACTTCTGTTCACTGCTCTCTACTTTCCAGACATAGCAGAATTGGAGACGACACTGGGCTTTAGAATGGAAAATTTCTTAATATCCTTTCTGCTAGCAGCATCTCCCACAAGTTTACCCTGCAGGCTCTCTTCAACGTTTTGTTACTTATAGCTTTGGAATGACTCATAGGGCTGCAACTATGAACCACTGAGTGGAGCTCAGACACAGCAGAATTGTGGGAAACTTTTCCATTCAGTGTTAGGGCTAAATTATGGTGCAAGATGCTAAAGATTACTTTATTCTCCCTCATTAGTATAGCAGCACAGCCAAGTGCACTATTTCCTTTAGTGTGAGCTAATTGAGTGCTGGCTATGGCTCCAGCTCCAGCAATCATCCAGGCAGCTCGCTTACCCTAAGTGTAAGGCTTTTCCCTCCCCTGAAAAAATGGATGGCTGGGACTGCTCAGTTTCAGAAGAACATACACTTTGAGCATGGTAGGTAGATTAAAAATAAGCTGAGAGTAGCATAGACACTGAGGAGGGCCCAAAGAAATCAGGGCAGAGTCCCCCCCCTCCGAGCACGAGCCCTGGAGTGTCAGCTTCGGTGGGGAATGCTAAATAAGTTATCAAGAGCTGTGAACTGACTGACTCTGCAGCATAATGAAGGTTGGAGTGTTTATCACAATGGAGCCTTGTTTTCTATGTACTGTAGCAAAAGATCAAGCTCAGGTTGGAACACCTTTATAGTGAATCTGTAGCAAAGTATTGGTACAGGAGACTTGTGCAGCTAGGGGAAGTATAAGAGGAACAAAATATCAGTGGCTATAATTACAAGAAATGGCATCTTTCATCTTGTGTGGAAAGATATAGAAATATGTAATTTTACCAATCAAGAGTGTTATCTGGGCTGAGAACATTAGCGTGGGACAGTGTTAGGCTAGGTGAACTACATTTTAGAGTTGCACCTATACAGAGAATTCTTAGAGCCTTCCCCTTCAAAGCCACACATGCACCATGTGCCTAGTGGACAAACTGCCTGTGGCTTATTGCTCTGTGCCAAGTTTAAATCCCATAGCAGCTAGGGAAAATGAGTGAAATAATCCAATGCCATAAACCAGTGTTAATGCAGCAGCTGTAATGAAATGTGCTAGAATATCTGTGGCAGTGAGTAGCAACTGTAACCAGTTGGGAACGTAATACCTCAAGTACATAAACAGGGTACCTGTCCTGGTGACTGGATGTTTAAAAAAAAAATCAAGAAGCCATTTAACCATTCCACCTTTAATGCTCGTTATTTTGGTGTTCAAACATAATGTAAATAACTTGTTAAACATTACATCACTAGAGAATGCAGTAGGAGTCTCATGATACAGCAATGTCTTGGGCTGTGACTGTTGTGCAGTGCAATTGTGATCTGTAACCCTCGAATTGTAATGTGTATGCTGCAAGAGAAGAATGTTTCCGCTACTGTAGGAGCACCTGCCATGTTATGTTGGAGATAGTGGTGGCAACTTTACCACTTGATAGACTGGGCATCATCTAGGTGCCTTTGCCAAAGCTGTGACTTTTGTAGACCCATAGTATAGCCACCCAAATTTGATGTAGTTGGTAAATAGGAAACCCAAGTGGATGTTTGTTACTCAAAATGTTACCACTATGGCTCTCTGAAAATTTAACATAGCAATTGCTGTTGTGTGGGTTTGAGAATAATTTGAAATGTAGCATGTTGAAGTTCTTGTCTAAATAACTTGCTGTAGCTCATTGTCTAGTTCACAGTGGTAGGTTATTTGATTCTAAACTTCTATATATGTATGGTAAATAAACAATATCATAGTATGACAATGATTTACCATCTGGTTTCACTTAGCCATTGCAATTCTAACAGCTGAGAATCTGACAAGGAGACTTGTAGTTCTTCCATAAACTGCACTTTTAGAACAAAACAGTGCAATGTGCACAGACTTCAGTCTAAGCCTGTTTGAGGAGTCATCACTTGATTAAAGCAAACATACCAGCTGAATAAAAAGCAGTTTGTCATGCTCATCAGTTCAAAGGCTTAGCATCATTAGGTTTTTGGACAAGACTGTTTTTTCCAGCTGTGTGCCATTCCATCCACATTCTATTTTATATATGTAACTTAGTCCTGGAGGATTATGACTGTGTAGTAGTGGCTATATTTTACACATGGTACTATTATTTTAAAGCAATGTTCTTCAGATGTCTGCAGTGAGTTTCCCCTCCTACAGCTATGGAAGAATATCAGTGCAGAGCTCCAACTGTCAGCTTGGAGTCATACATTTGCTGTTCCAGTGGAGATTTTCTTAACTGCATCAACAAGGACATTCGTTAATCAGAGTAACTGCAGGTATGTCTGTCTTAGGGTAGTTCAACTGAGGTATCTTAGCTGATGAGCTTGTTTGGTTTAATGTTAACCATTAGCTCACTCTTCATCTGCTTAACCCTTGCAGGACATGTGGGCAAGCTCCACTTAGCACTGGCATGCAGGTTTTTCCCCCTTTGTTTGGCTTGCTGTATGCTTTACTCAAGAATTCTGTGGGTGTCTGAAAAATCTTCCCCCCTCAAAGAATCCTGAAACAGACACAGAAATGGTTAGCATGGTTCTCAGCTGGCTTCTAATTTGACACAAACATCCTTTAAGATTCTAAAGTTAATGAGGAACAAGCTGCTGTCTACTGTAGCACAACCCTTGACTCTCTACATGTTTAGAAGCAGGAATGCAAGGCTGGGTTCCTAGGCAATTCCATTTCTGAAGTGGACTAAGGGAGTTCTCACTGCCCTGACACTACAGGGTATATTTTTACTGCAGTCATCCCTAGACAAAATTGCTATAGAAGTAGCAACTGCTGTGCTGGGCTCATGCCCCATGTGTCAGCAGTAGGTTAGGGGTAAGAAGGGGACATCACCCTACCTCTATATTGATCTCCTCTAAATCTATTTACTTAGTCTTCACCAGGGAGAGAAGATTCTCATTAGCAGTGGAAGAGGATACTGAGCCCTTGGCAGAAACCACACCTGGGTTTAGCAGGCATCTAATTTATTAAATTGAAAACTTATTTACTGATGCTTCTAATTCAATGAAAAGCATCAAGCACCCTGCACCTATAAACACTATTAAAAATGCTAATGAGAGTTCAATGCCTGGACTAAAGTAAGAAGAGATCCCCTTACCTTAGTTCAGGTCTACACTTAAAGGATAGGTTGACCCAGCTCTGTCACTTAGGGAGTTGGATTTTTCACACCCCCCAAGCATCATAGTTAAGCCATCGAATGCCCAGCGTACACAGGAGTAGGTTGACAGAATAATTCTTTCATTGACCTAGCTAATGTCTCTTCAGAAGGTGGACTAACTATAGTGACTGGGGAACCCTTGGAGCCAGTGGCTATGCTGAAGCACTGTAGCTGTTTAGACATGTCCATAGATTCCTCTCCTGTCTGGCTCAAGCATCCCTGTGTTAAGTGCAGCTTAAGGGTTGTTTTTACATCCTTACAGAATCCCATTCACCCCTACTAGCAAGTATGAGTTCCCCTCGCCCCCATTTGGTTAAGTTTTAAACAAGTGTTTCATCAGAATAAAACAGGTGAGACCATTTCTTACCTCAAATGGTTCACACATCAAACTCTGGGCCCCAAAGATAGGATTTGGGAAAGACACTAAGGGCGGGTTCCTGGCTTGCTCTTCCTCTTCCAGGTCAGCCTGTATGCAAAGGTACAAGAGATTAGGTATCGGTCCTCCTCCTCCTCTAGAGGTGAGTTCTTCATTGCTGCAGTCCTAAGCACTTCTATGGTTCCTTGCATTAACAAGGTTGTGAAAATGAAATTGAATTACAGAATCTAGTTAGTAAGGAGGTGTTCTTAAATATAAAATCTTTTCCAAGACATTTGCACAGAAAAGTAATTATTTTTATGATAGAAATCAGTTAAGGGTAATTTTATCCATATTGCTCATTTACCTCCCACACTGGTTTCCATATTTCTAGCTTCCTTCTCCCCATACCCATTTATACCTGTTACCGTACCACATAACAATTCAGGTTTAAGGTGCTTAGCAACCTCACTCTAGTTTAAGCTGTAACTTACATGTATGCAGTCTGCAGACCCTGCACTACAAAATATCCATTTCTTCCCATAGTGGCTAAATCATAGGCCTGGTCTACATAGTTATGGCATGAGGGTCAGGCTATGCCAACCTAAGCCTCAGTGTAGACACAGCTAGGTCAACGAAAGAATGTTTCTGTCAACTTAACTTACCATGATGGTGGCATTCCTATTGCACAGGAAATACCCCTGCTGTCACAGTAGTCTGTGTCTACACTATGGAGTGGCATTGTAGTGCCTACAGTGTAGACATGGCCCTAGTATTGCAAGTTATGGGGACAGCAATGACCCCTCATGAGAAGAGAATGTTGCAGAGACCCAAATTCTCCCTACAGACCTATGCACTTGGCCTAGATCTAATAACACACCTTCAAAAGCTGTCACAGTATAAACTGGAAGGTCAACTACATCAAACAATCCTTTATTGTAGCCTTAATCGTTATCTTCCCCCAAGTCCCTTGTGCAATGACTATCTGACCTTAAAGAATTTCCTTGTAGTTTAAACCTCCTCCACCCTCACTTTTAGTAAAAATTATTAAACATAGGTGAGTCTCACCCAAGCCAACTCTTCAGGCTTGTGTACATGGTGCAGTAATGCACACCAACTGGCCTGTGTAGACCCTCCTGGCACACAATAGGGAACTTTTAGAGTGTGCCAGCAGTAGCCAGTTAGTTCACAACACATCCATGTGCATAAGAATTTGCTCCATGTAGACAAGCCCTTAAAGATGAGAATTCTTAGCACTTCTCCACCCAAGTTCTTCTTCCAGAACTACATCCTGAGCAGTAGCCTTACTACAAGGGTAACAGATGGAAATACGCCTCAGAAAACTTTCTGAATGTTTTTATGGGGAAGCTATTCATCCATTTCCAAAGGTCACATGTAAATGTGACTCCAACCGTGAGAATTTAGATGCAGGCTGCTGTTTAAATGCATCAGAAAGCAAAAAACCCCACAAGAGTTCATAGCTGCATACAGTCACCCAGTTTGGTTACTGTAACACCTTGAGCTCTTATGCATATAACCATTGCTGTACTGATAACAGAAATGGTTTGTGCTTTAGTGAGAGAAGCTGTAGCAAGGTTTTTTTTTTTTTTTTTTTAAATTTATACAGCAAATATACTTTTCTCCAAACCTGAAAGTAGTGGAACTGGAATCCTCGGTTTTTTATTTTTTGGTAGTAATAGGACACTCCAGCAACAGCTAATAGCAGCAGCACTACGACAACAGCTGATGTTACCCCAATGGTCACAGGATGAGATGATTTCATAGCATTAGTAACCTGGAAGAGACACACTAAGTTGTTTTAGTTCTTTGTTAAAATACATAATGAAGAACTGTCTTAAAGACAACTGGTGTGTTAAAAAGTGTTAACTAAACTTTTTCACACCTGTGAAATAGAGGGCTGGCTACCTGGAACATTTATGCAGTTTGTTTGCCCTGTGTGCTGCACTCATTCCTGATCTGATCTCATCTTACACACACACAGCTCAGATTGGACGTGAAACTATGTAGTAGAATAAACCACTTCGTCCACTATCCTACTACTGCCCAGAAGTTTCAAAAGAAGCTATAATACATACACTGATGCATCTCATCATTACTATACTGGTTACCTTACATTCCATTTTGCTCTGTTGTGATGTAAAATGGTCTCCTCCCTTTGCAGATTTGGGACATGCCTTTACTCAGCACTATTAAATTTTCAAGGCACATAGCAATAGGCCGAATGAGAGGAAACTAGCTCTCTCTGTTGTTGGCTGGTGGGCAAAGAGTGCATTTTTCAGACTGGTGCTATCTGTTGGATTACTTAACAGCATGGGCCTAAGTTTTTGTACTGGTGCCACTTGTTTGCTTCATGCTGTTCTCAATGTTTTATAATCCAGTCATAGCAATGGCTACCCAAATACATCTAAAAATGTACAAGTCCCACATTATGTCATGTCTTTGAACTGGCCATTAGTTGGTCCTCCTGCCCCTCAAAACAGCAGGCAGAAAGTGAGGAGGGCTGCTCTGCCAGGGAGTTGGAGGTACGCCTACACCAGGTAGGCAGATAGGATGCCTGTTCCAGCAATGATCAAGGAGAAGAGGAGGGATCAGTAGGAGCAGAGGACAGACCTTTGCCGGGAAGTGTAACACTCAGGTATAGTTCTGTGCAGGGAGGAGGGAGTAGTTGGTAACTAACATACATGATCTGAGGTCAGAAGAACTCTCTGATGTGTATGTATATCCCATTATACATAGCAACTACTACAGGATAATTAAAGAGTAACTGGCTCAGTATGCAGAGCCATTCACACTAAATTCATCCCTGTGTTGTATATCAATACAGTAGGTCTAGCTTAATACCTAGCAGCCTCCACCCAAAGATCTCAAAGTACTTTAATTTAGGTTCAGCCCACTTGTGCTGTAGCAAAGTATTATCCCCATTTTACCAGTGAGGATACTGAGGCACAGCAAGTTTATGCTACTTGCACATGCCTCAGCTGTAGCCTTGTGTCCCAATGACCAAATAATTCTTGGCTTGCTTTACTTGGATTTCCTACCATGTTATGCGTACAGAATGCATTAGTATTGGCTATATGAGGACACACACTAACACAAAGGTCCATTCATAAAATTCCACGTTAGCATCTTCTAAGGCAAGCACCCTACCTTTACGGGGGCACTTTGCCTTTACTGAGCTATCTCCCTGCTCTCCACATCACAACTACCCCCAAGAGTA